TTTGCATTACTCTTACTTTTTACTTGCTAATATTCTTATTTGGTTTTTAGTCTGTCTCACTTACTAAGTTCTAAATTCCTGAGTTTAAGACCTCTTCTGCCTTACTTCCCATTGTCACTGGCCCGTGATAGGCACTAAAAAGCAATTTCTCGCTCTAGAATCTAAGTCCAGGCAACTCTTGGCAGTGGCTCAGGGATCCAGAATCAAAATCTGAAAAGTGAATACAGAATTTAGTAAAATCGCTGCTTTAGTGAGACTAAAGAGCAGGGCTAGAGAAGAGCGATCTGATCGAAAGGCCCTAGACTCTCTTTTATGCTGACACAGTCCAAATGTACCTGCCAGATCTGGTCAGATTTTCTGTTCTTAAAGAGATCTCTGTTGATACTTATGTAACACTTTCTTTGTCTATGTCTTCAGGAAAAAGATCTAAAAGGCAGTGTGCTTTCTAAGGCTGAAAGGTAGTAGGTGGTTGATAGGATGACCTCAGGAATACGACTTTAGTTTGGTAATTAGGTCTAGTTACCTCTCGCTTTCCCCACTCTCAAACATTTTTGATATTCTGAACATACCCAGGAACTTCATTCCCAAATGCCTTTCAGGTTGAAACACATATATGATGCATAGTAATTTTACCATAAAAATATTCTGCATACATTTTTGACTACTCATTCATTCTTGAACACAATATATTTGAAGAATGTTCACATGCTTGAATAGCTTTTGGATATTTTGCCTCCTCAACTAGATTCCAATACCTGTTATGAATTTAGTAAGACATAGAACAGAAAAGTAAATGAGGCACTGCAAAAGCAAATACCTCTAAGGAAGTTTCAAAGACATTTAACATTTTTCATGTAAATTATATATTTTTTGTATGCGATATATAAAATTAAACATGCCCAGCACGTGACACAGATCATGCAAACCTCTGTGCCTTCATAAACAACAAAACAAAACAATAACAACAACAACAAAAACCTATTCATACACACGAAAACATAACCATATATTTGTAAATTTCTACTTTGCTGCTGTTGGAAATAGTAAAGAAAAGGGGAGCGAACCATTTATCAAGAACCTATTATATACTATACATCCGCTTACCACTTTAGAAATGTTATTTTAGTTAATATTGATAGTGATCCTATTATATTAAATCCAGAAACTGTTCTTAAGAGAGAGTGTGAAACATGTTCTCGGTCACAGAATTGAAAAGAAATAAAGTCAAGATTTAAACCCAGGCTTTTTTCTAACTCCAACATCTGGTTGTTTTTCATTTTACTGTGATTCTTCCCAACACATTTTTACTAAAGTATTTATTGTAGAGCTATGTACTGACACAGTCAAACTCTAATGAGAGATTTATAAGCTGGTCTGAAACAAGTAGACTTTTTCTTGAGAAGCCACAAGACACTTGTGTAGAAGGTGAGGGTAAGGGCCCGACTTCAATTATTCATGTCTTTCTATGCCAAGGAATAAAGAGGATATTAATTCTATTACAACAACTCTGTCAATTTAATCCTTACATATGCTAAATAACTCAAACTGAATAAATCTTCATTGTTGATTCTCACAAAATGAATAAAAATAATAAAAGCAAAATGATTATGGGAAGTTTGGGTAGCATATTAAAGTCAAAAAGTTTGCAACCGTGAAACCATTTTTAACGAAATAAGAATTGTGTATAACTCAGACATTTTCTATCCTCCAAACAAATTTTAAAAAATGTTTCGAAACACAATGGGAAAGTATGATTGGCAAAGATAACTGATTAAAACAAAACAAACAAACAAAAAACAAAGAGCATAGTAAATAGGTTTGCCAACAAAGAAAGATAATGGGAAAATTCAAGTTGCCTAGGTATTCTTTAAATATCATTGATATTTAAGGTCAACCATGTGGCAGTTCCTGAATTTTACTAGATTCCTCCATTTATTTCTCTATTTCCCTTCTTCCCTTTCATTTCCAGCAGATCTTCCCTGCTTGCCTAAAACTTTATGGAGTAAATAAAGACCATGTGGTAGAGAACTTGCTCAGTTTTTTACATCACGACTTCCTTGCTTGCTTGCTTGCACGCACACACACAGACACACCAATATCCTCACAGCCTATATCAGAAAAAATAAGCACCCTCCATATGGACTGCCAGGAAGTCCAATACATCCAATTGTATCATCTTTAAGACAACTCAAAAGCTAATCTCTCAGCCTCTATTGTAATTCTTTTTACTCATAATCACAACATGTTCTAAGAAGCCTCTCAAGACAACTTTTAAAAAAGACAAACAAACAAACAAACAAACAAACAAAAAAAACAATGTAAAACTACAAACAACTATCTACAACTACAAAAAGAAGACTAACCAAATTTTGTTTCCTGATTTGTGTCAGTACCTTTCTTCCATCTCATTCTTGGTAAAAAACTAAGAAATATGTATATACTGTCTCCACAATTTTTTGTTCATCTTTTCCTCCCCTCTTCCTTCATCTGTCATCCAATAAATCTGCATCAACTCTGTTAGAGGCTGAAGATGCAGAAACAACTAGGTAATAGTTCATGCTGTCAAGTAGCTGGCTAACCATAATAGAAAGAGAATAATAAATATAAATAAATGGGCACAACTGAATGTTATAGTGAAATGGGAGAAAGGTGATAATACCAGTAGATCAGAAAAAAATTCTAAAATAGAAAACAGGCCTTGAAAAAAATGAGCAGATATGTATCTCTTGATGAGGGTTGACACATGTTGCAAAATAGTAATTCAGACAGTACAAGAGGTAAAAACAAAATTAATGATTTGTGAAAGAGCTTGGGATGTTTGGAAGCTTGCAAGCAGCTATATATAGCATTAAAATGGGATGGAAAGGTTAGAGGTGGGGAGAGGTTTAAGAGATAAATCAAAACAGGCAAACGTAGATTAGATCTTAGAGGCTCATTCATATCATGTTGAATATAGAATATACTAAAAGAAAATGAGGAAGAATGAAAATCCTAGGTGTTTGTTTCAGTAAATTTTGCTGTGTAACAAACCACCCCAATACTCAGTGACTTTGCAGCAATAGATGCTCACGATTTCTCAGGTTTTATTTGACTATTCTAATTGGGCCTACTACAACTGTTCCATGTGGTCAGCTAGCAGTTCACCTGGGCTTGGATGGCCTAAGATAGCCTCTGTCATAAGTGTAATAGATGTGATAGATGGCCCCGTGTCTCTTATTATCCAACAAATTAACTCAAGCTTTTTCACATAATAGAAATCTCAGAATAAGAAGAGAAGACAAGTGCCAATGCAAAAAAAAAAAAGGCACTTTTTAAGTCTCGGCTTATATTATATGATATTGTCCCACTGGCCAAACCAATTCACATAGCTAAGGCAAGAATCAGTATGGGAAAGAATTATCCAAGAGCATGGATGGAAGTAGAGACATAATCATGACCATTTATTGAAAACAACATACAGAGCAAGGAACTGGAACTTTATAGCATAGAGTATCATATGTTAATTATAAATAATTTATAACTAACTGATTAACCAAAATCACTATATACTATCTATTCTCTCTCTCTCTCTCTCTCTCTCTCTCTCTCTCTCTCTCTCTCTCTCTATA